TGTCTAATCTAGAATCTACTTTAATGTTTGGGTTGGTGTGTGGGTAGAGACAGAGAGGTATATTATGTATGTGTGTACAAGTTAATTATATATATTATACCAAAACACATCCGTGTCGACAATCTGCTATTTGCTTAGTTGAAGAAATGCAGTTTTCATAGTAGGTATAAATATCCCCCCAATTCTTTTCTTCCTCCCAGTTTATTCTTCTGATGTTGGTTTCACATCCCATTTCCAGCAGGGATGATGGACCACAGTATAATTTCAAGCTTATCCACAAAACAACTCAGCTAATGACTTTTTTTTTTTGCGGTAGTTCAAACAGCGTGCGCTGACCTTGAAACTTGATGCGACTGCAGTTAAGATTCTGGATCCAGTCACCAGTACTCGGAACAGTCTTTTACGGTCATGCCTTCTGCCTACTGTGCTGCTTCACACTCACCTGTAATGCAGAATCACAGTCTGCTAAGGGTTTAATTAATTTTAGATGTAATTATACTTTAGGTGGATTGAGAGAAAGGGACAGTCAATTGCAATTTGACTGGTTATATTTGGGAGGGGAGGGGGTAAAATTATAATAAAAATAAAAATTGTAGTTCAGAAGGTAGTTTTAAACAAATATTCTTTTCTACAGTAAATCCTTCCAAATATGTTTATTCCAAGAAAGGAGAGAGATACAGAGAATGGTGTTAAATGATTTTATTTTCTGTGAAATGCAAGTGTAATCTGAAGGCCTAAGCAAGATGTATTCAGAGGTCATGACTCTGACCATGCAAGTGTAACCCATGTGCCTAATAGGGAAATATTTCTTTAAGAGACCCATTGTGGGAAGGTAGGAGTGAGCTGTGTCTGGGTCACTGTTGCTAGGCAGATTAAGCACTCCACATCCAGATGCTTCTGGAATTGGGTGTGGTAGTTTTGGGTATGCTCCAGTAGGTTCCCTGTTGCTAGGGTCAGACTCCATGAGGGCAAGCAGGCAGGGCAGGTGCTTTGCCGTAGGCCAGGTGCCCTGTGTGAGTTGGGAAGCTGAGCCCAGGCGCAGAAAGCAGGCTGTTGTCCCTAACTGTGAAGCGTTTTGCAGCAGGTTAATGATATTGTTAAGTAGGGTTACCATATCTATTAAATAAAAAAAGAAGACCCTCCACGGGCCCTGGCCCCGCCCATTTCCCCACCCCCAGCCCCGCCCCAACTCCGCCCCAACTCCGCCCCTTCCCCGCCCTAACTCCGCCCCCTCCTCCCTCCCACTCCCAGCCACGGGGAAAGGGCTGCCCGAGCGCTACCGGCTTCACGGTTTGCCGGGCAGCCCCCAGACCCTGCGCCCCCAGCCGGGCACTTCCCCTCCCGGGCTCCGGCGGC